TTCAGCTGGAAAATTTTAAGAAAAATCGGAAGAGGTCTCGATTTGTTGCGATGCATTCACGACACTTTCCCACTAGAAACGCTTTAGTTCAGCGTCCCTTGAAACTCAAGTTTAGGTTACGATGACAGGGTGGGCTCTGAAAGAGGATGCATCTGCTTCACCATATCTAGGGTTTCTGTACTCCTCCTATAACCGCCTATATGATATATGTCGTACGTTATGACCCAAAAATATCTTCTCATGACCCGCCCTGCTCCAGCAGGGCGTTTGGGGAATGACCCTGGGAGATAAAAGGGGAGGCCTGGCCTGTGCCCTTCACACCTGCTTGATAAGCAGCTGCCTCATGCTCCGAGCAACTGGCCCAGTCCCAGCTTGCCCACGGCGATCCTGGCTCGGTCACGCCACAGGGAAACCGCACGGGCATCGCTTACGAACCAGGGAGGGCATGATAAGCAAATGACCTGCATGTCGTGAAGCCCAGCGTTGGCTGTGTGGAGAATGGGACAAGATATAGCAGTGGTAAGACTTGAAGAAGAACAATAAATACACTGCAAGCCCTTTTCTGCCTATGCTGACCTGAAAATTAAGTCCAGAGGATGTTGTTGGATCAGAAAGCCAGCCATCCCCTGTGTTCCCCTCCTGTAGCAGTACACAGAGCCCAAAAATATGAATGAACTAAAGCAATCCAGATCCTGTTTGGCTGTTCAGCTCTGATGACTCATCTTGCCTGCGCTCTCCTTAGGCTAATGACAAGGAAACAAACACAGAACAATATTGAACTTGGCATCATCTTGGCAAAGTTGCTGTGCCCGGGATTTTGTCACTAGGTACTACTTGCAATTCTTGTGTCGCCTGCACCCCAAGTAAGAATTAAAGGTTTAATAAGCAAATAGTCTGTTCTTCCCTTAAGTCACCAATAATTTCTACTCGAATCCTAGGACAGCCTAAAATCTTACCCAAATAAATTTTTGAGAAACTTGCTGTGTGATGGAGCTTAAGGCAAGCGGGCGGTCTGGGCGGCTCCCATGGGCTCTCTCTCCTTAAATTCAGTGTGTCCCCCTTGAGCTGCGACCTGAGACGCTCCAGGCGGAGCAGAGCCACACACTCAGTGCAGAACCCAAGGGGCAGCCCCCGGGGATGCTGCGTGCCGAGCCAGCTCCCCCCACCCAGGAGCGGGGATGTGGAGCGGCGGCTGCGACCCCTCCAAATTCCTCTGGGTGAAAGGAGGAACGACGGTCACACTCCCGAGACGCGCACGGAGTAAGAATCACCTGTGTCCATCCCTCCCTCAGGGGCTGCCCGCCTTTCCTGGGAGCTCCTGCCCTTGGGATCCCAGCTTGGCATCCCACACAGCATTTTCCTTTTGAAAAAGGAACAGGGTGACACACAATTATTCAGTGAAAAGTATGAAATAGTGGAAACGTAACTGTTGTAAGTGCAGTTTTATGACTGAGAACTCAGTAGTCTCCCTTGGATGGGATTTCTGGGTGACGGACTGCATTTCTTCCTCTGGTTTCAATACTCGTGTGCCTGCCAGCCTGACTGCTGCCTCCACCGGCAGTGACTGCCCTACAAAGGTACCACCAGGTCTCCTTACAAGCTTCTGGGAACCCACCAGCAGAAAGCGGTGCCTCCCCGACCTGCTGAAAGGGTTTTCCATCCTCCCTCGCCCGCCCTTCACAGCAGCCGGGGCGATTTGCGGGGCGGGGGAACGAGCTCGGCTGTCCCTCGGCAGAGGGTGGGGGGTGACTGGTGCTGCGCACCGGGGGACACTGCGACACCGCTTGACTTTTCGCTGCCGACGCCAAAGTAAATCCCGCGGTACCACGGTCCCTCCGCAGGAAAAGCCGGGCCCTGCCCCGGCCCTCGGGAGGACGCGGGTGGCCGTGGCGGCTCCCGGCGGTGGCACCGGGGGGAGGGGGAAGGGGGGGGTCCGAGCCCCGAGTCCCCGCCGCCTGCGCTTCCCCCCGCCGGGGCCGGGCGGCGCTGGCACTGCCCGCCGTCGGGGCGGCAGCGAGACACCGCCCACGCCGGGGGTGGCCCCGCGTGGGTCCGGGGAGGCGCCCGCAGCAGACGGACGGCGCGCAGGGGGCCGGGCGGCGAGCGCAGCGCCGGGCTGAGCCGGGCCGGGATGCGGGTTCCGCCGGCCGGCGGGGCCACCCTCCTCCGCACCCCGCGCTGATCCCCCCGCCGCCCGTTCCCTCCTCCGGCGCTCGGCGGGGAGCCGGCGGCTCCCGGGGCCGGCGCAGCCCATGGCCGGCTCCGCGCAGCCCCCGGCGGCGGCGGGGGGCGGCGGCCCCGACGGCGGGTCGGTGGCGGGGGGCGGCGAGGCTTTTGGGGACCGCTCCCTCAGCCAGGGCTTGAGCGTGCTGGTGGGGCTGGCGCTCTGCGTGACCATGCTGGGGCTGGGCTGCGCCGTGGAGCTGGGGCAGCTGGGGCAGCAGCTGCGGCGGCCCGTGGGGCTGCTGCTGGCGCTGCTGGGGCAGTTCGTGGCCATGCCGCTGCTGGCCTTCCTCCTCGCCCTCATCTTCGCCCTGGACGAGGTGGCGGCCGTGGCTGTGCTGCTGTGCGGCTGCTGCCCCGGGGGCAACCTCTCCAACCTCATGTCGGTGCTCGTCGACGGGGACATGAACCTCAGGTAAGGGGGGGGGGAGGGCTGCGGCGGGCCCGGGACGCGGGTGGGGGGTTCGGTGGGCACCTACCGGTGGTGGGGCCGGGCACGGCGCCGCTGGAAACCCCCAGCGCTGCTCTGCAGCCTCTCCCCGGGGCGGGCGGCTTACGCGGACCCCCCCCACCCGCCTCCTGTCCCCTTCCCTAATAAGCCCCCCTTCCCGCGGGGGGCTGCGGCTCCCCGGGGCTGCCCCCCGCGGCTGATCGGGTGTCTTTTTGGCGCAGCATTATCATGACGGCCTCCTCCACGCTGCTGGCCCTCTTCCTCATGCCCCTCTGCCTCTGGGTCTACAGCCGCCACTGGATCAACACGGCCCTGGTGCGGCTGCTGCCCCTGGGGGCGGTGAGCCTGACCCTGGGCAGCACCCTGCTGCCCATCGGCCTGGGGGTGCTCATCCGATACCGGCACCCCCGCGCCGCCGACCTCCTGGTTAAGGTAGGCACGGCCCCGGGAGGTGTGTGTGTGTGTGGGGGGGCGGCCGGGCTGCGGGGATGTCCCGGGGAACGGCAGCGGGTCGGGGGGGGGGGTGGGTGAAGGCAGTAACCTTTCTGGTCCCTCCGAACCGATGGTAGCTTCACATTGGCATGTTCCGCTAGTTAGGTGGAAGATAAGGATTTATAGTCTTGAAATAAAACAGCGAGACAGAGGTGGAAAGTGAGGGCAAGGGCCTGGGACCCCCCCGGCACCCGGGAAGGAGGGCAGCGAGGCACTGCACCCCGGGAGGCACCCCGGGCCCTGGAGCATTCCCCGGCATCCCTCCCCGCTCCGCTCCCGCCGGGCTAGCGAAACCAACCCGCGGGCACGGCGACGCTTCCTTAAAACACGCAAACAAATGAGCTTAATTCTGAAAGGAAAAGTGAAGCACAAGCCCTGGCTCTCTAGTTTCCCAGCAAGTCACCCCAAAGCGAAACGAGTGAGGGCGATCTCAGCCTCTTCCTCTCCTGGGATATGGGCAAACACCACCAAAGTCCTGAGCCAGGAGCAAACCCGGGAAGGGCAGCGCAACCCTGTGTCGCAGTTTAGCCTCTCTGTCAAGCCTCTACCTGCTACGCTTATCCTTTTAAACTAATAACCCCTGTGTTGTTTATCCATGTCTGTATCTGTTGCCAGATTTCCCTGTGGTCCCTCTTGGTGACTCTGGTGATCCTCTTCATCCTGACTGGGACCATGCTGGGCCCAGATCTGATGGCACATATTCCTGCGTCTGTTTACGCCATTGCAGTGCTGATGCCTCTAGCAGGGTACGCCTTGGGATACGGCTTAGCCACGGTCTTTAAAATGCCCCCCCACTGCAGGAGAACAGTGTCTTTGGAAACAGGGTGTCAAAACGTCCAGCTCTGCACCGCCATCCTAAAACTCACCTTCCCCCCAGAGCTCATAGGGAGCATGTACATGTTTCCCTTGCTTTACGCGCTTTTTCAGTCGGCAGAAGCAGGACTCTTTGTGCTGGTCTACAAGATGTACGGGAGAGACAGCTACAAACAAGATACGCTGGGTGAAGAGGAAGACACGGATATTTCCTACAAGAAACTGAAGGAAGAGGAGGTGCCCGATAATTCGTACGGCACGGTGACCACAGAGGAGCACGGCTCCGTTCAGATAGAGCCGACGCAGACGGCGCTTTAGGGGAGGTGACCCCCGGGGCTGGGCGACGCGTGTTTGTGCTCCTGACCAGGCTGGGGCTGCGCTCGCCGCTGAGCAGGCAGAGCTGCCCGGCCTCCATCGCTTCTGCAGCCGCTCCCATTGTACAAGGTGATGTGTGTTTATTACCGCGACAGTTGTATTTCCTCACAAATAAATGTGAAAAAAAAAAAAAAAAAAAAGAAAAAAAATGAAGAGACAAAGGAAAAAGCATCCCTGCCGACGCCAACCAGTAACCGTCCGTCTTCCCGCGAGGAGGCTCCTGCCCGCCCGAGCGCCGCAGCAAGGGGCAGGAGGAAGGGGACCAGCGTTTTGCGGGGGCAAAGCCAACGCGGCGCCAGTGCGGACGGACGGGCAAACCACCTTGCGCGCGCGCATCTCCGTGCCTCCCACCCGCTGTAAAAGCATCGTGCTCGTTGTTCTCACCACAAATACATGGCGAAGCTGAACCAAACCCGTGTGGCCCACTGATTAATCCCGCGGGGGGCAAGGAAGGGCCGCGCTGCCGAGTTCACCGGGGGAGCTGTGTTGGGGCGGGGGTGGGGGGACGTCTTGCCCGAGCGGTGGGAAGGGGCCGCCAAGGCCGGCGCCCGTCAGGGGAGGGGGAAGCCCGGCCCCGGCCCCGGCCCCCGCCCCGCCCCGGGGGTATTTAAGGCCGCCTCTCGGCAGTTACCCCGGGTCCGGTGTGATGGCGGAGGAGGCCATGGAGAGCTACCTGTATGCCCCCTACCACCCCTACCCCTATTCCTACCGCTACCCGCCGCCCAAGGGCAAGGGGGGAGCGGCGGGCAGCTGGCGGCCGCGGGGCAGCGGCTACTTCTCGGGCTCCGGGGAGGCGGCGGCGGCCGCCGAGTACTTCGACAACTACCAGCGGGCGCAGCTGAAGGCCATCCTCTCCCAGGTCAACCCCAACCTGACGCCGCGGCTCCGCAAGGCCAACACCAAGGAGGTGGGCGTCCAGGTCAACCCGCGGCAGGACGCCTCGGTGCAGTGCTCCCTCGGGCCCCGCACGCTGCTGCGCCGCCGCCCCGGCCCCGCCGCCGGGCCGCGGCCCCGGGAGGGGGGGGAGCGGGAGCGGGAGCAGGAGCAGGGCAGCCCCGCCACGACCAGCACCCGCGCCGTGCGCTTTCCCCGCACCATCGCCGTCTACTCGCCCGTGGCGTCCCGCAGACTCACCGCCTTCCTGGAGGAGCCGGGCCCGGAGCCGGAGCGGCGGCCGCAGGAGGAGGAGGAGGCGGCGGCGGCGGCCGCCGTCGTCGAGGAGAAGCCGGCGGCGCAGGCGGCGGCCGTCGAGGAGGAGTCGGCCGAGCAGCGGGAGGCGGAGGCGGCCGCCGTGAGGGAGAGCTGGGAGAAGCCCGCCGAGGGCAGCGCCGAGCCTCTGGGGCAGCGCCCGGCCGCGGCCCCGCAGCTGCCGGCGGAGAACCGGGAGGAGGAGAGGGCGGCAGCGGCGAGGGCAGAGCCGCCGGCCGCCCCCAAGAAGCGGGAGCCGGCGGCGGAGAAGACCCGCCTGCGCTTCCAGGTGAGGGGCGGCCGGCGGGGCGGGAGCGGGGCCGGGCCGGGCCGCCCCTGCCCGCCTCGAGTAACGGTTGTCCCCGGCAGTTCCTGGAGCAGAAGTACGGCTACTACCACTGCAAGGACTGCAACATCCGCTGGGAGAGCGCCTACGTTTGGTGCGTCCAGGGCACCAACAAGGTAGGGGGAGGCTCGGGTCACCCCGACCCAGACCGCACTCCCCCCCCCCCCCCCCGCCCCTCTTCCGTGAACCCCCTTTCTGCTCCGCTGACCCCCGGCCTCCCCCCCCCTCAGGTCTATTTCCGGCAGTTCTGCCGGACCTGCCAGAAGTCCTACAACCCGTACCGCGTGGAGGACATCACCTGCCAGGTAAGGGTCCCCCCATGCACCCCCCCGCGCCCCCCCCACCCCCCCCTCCCCGGGCCGCCCCCGCCGACCGCCGGCTCCTCCCGCAGAGCTGCAAGCAGACGCGGTGCACCTGCCCCGTGAAGATGCGCCACGTGGACCCCAAACGGCCCCACCGCCAGGACCTCTGTGGGAGGTGCAAGGGGAAACGCCTCTCCTGCGATAGCACCTTCAGTTTCAAATACATCATCTGAGCGGGATAGTGGTTTTTTTTTTTTTTTTGGTGTTTGTTTAAGGCTCTTCCAGAAAACTGCAAGTAGAGCGAGTTTTGGGTTGTGTGTTTTTTTTTTTTTTTTTTTTTTTCGGTTGGGATTGTTGAAGGTACTTGGTGAGGTTGTAGCTAGGAAAGCATGCAAATAAAAGTATTGCAAAGCATGTTCAAATGATCGGGTGACTTTGTGCCCAGCTCGGAGGGTGCATATTGCAGCTTCTGTAACTTGCACAGGGGAAGAGCCTACAAATAATTTGTAAATCAGTGATGGTCTTGGCAGCAACTGACTCGGGACCTTGCAGAATCTCAGGTGGGAAAGGATGTCTGTTGCTGTTCCTACCCTTGAACTAATCAAACACTTGAAGATAAAATTAAATTGGCGTTTACAGTAGGTAGTAGAGCAACATTAATGAACAAAACATCTAGTAGTATTCATTTACTGAGCACACTTCTATTCTGTGTAGAAAGTCTCCTGCACCTGTTCTTCATCACTGGAAAATGACTGAGAAATGCTATGTAAGGTCACTTCCACTGGTCCAGCTGGTCTGCATTTAGCTAAAGTGGTGTTCTTGTAGATGAAAGCCAAAGACAGCTTGTGGTTAATGTGTATTCAGGGACAATTCTCACAAACCGCTGGGGAAGGGAGTCACTGATGTTATGGTCTCTTGGTAAATGAGTTGCCCGTCTTTACTTCCGCAAGGTTATCAAGAGAAGTGACACTTCAGAGGCTCAGAGTATGAAACGGCATCTGCCTGGCTTCCTCTTGCACCTGCAGATGATGCACAAGAGCTGTGCACTTAGTGGCTTACACCTGGGGAGTTAGATCTAGTTACGGTTTAGGTGTTTGCCATCAGGGAAGGATCAGCCTCCCGCACCCTTCTGGGGTCGGGTTTGCAACTAGGAATTGTACTTGTAGTGTTGGGTAGTAATGGCAGAAGCGGCATGGTTACCCCCAGTGATGCTCTCTGAGGCCTGGGGGTGGTAATGGCCTCTGTAGGGAGGGCTCACCACGCTTCAGCAAAGCTTTACAAGCTGACTCTGGGGCTACAGCATCACCATCTGTGCAGATTCACAATATAGCCAAGTCTGTACTCACCCCCTGGTCCACCCTGTAGCCAAGGAGTTGGGGAGACTTTGGGGAAGGCATACTTTCCCGAGGCTGCTAATGAAGCTGTTAAATTTTGTGCATCATAATGCACAAAGCCTTTTGCAGAACTCGGGGTACCTTCTGTTCGGAAGGACTGATTTATCTTGCCTATGACAAACTTGTACTCTAACTACACTTGTACTCAGCTTACTTGGGACCATTCTATTAAAGACTAAAGGGGGAACACATGCTGTGTAACATCTTGCATCTCTAAAGGGAGGCTAGTGTATGGCAGGGTAGGCAGAAATTGTCTTTTGTACCAACAAATGTCCATTTAGAGGGGCAGTGAGTGTTAATTCTGTAGACTTGCTGTAAATTGTTGCTTTATTTTAATATGGCCCTTGAACTTCCTGCAGTAAGTAAGACTTAAAGCCTCAGCACCAATTTATTGCCAAGTAATTTTATTTTTGCTCCATTTATTATTATAGCAGCATGAGGCATTCTGGGAACAAGCAGACCTACTGCTGCCCAGAATTGGGTACTGCTTCATTTCAGGCTTCTACCTGAAGCACCTTCCCCTGTGTCACACCAAAAGAAAACACCCCTTGCTTTATGAGCTCACTCAGAATTTCACAGTAAGTTCCATCCTTGCCCTCTTCAAATTCAGAAGTACAGCTGCAGCTGGGCAGGTATTTGCTGTAGATGCATGTGCCTTGCACTCGCCTGTAGTTACAGTAATGAGCAAATCTCCAGTGTGAGGAAGAACACAGTTGAGGCCCCCTCTGCAGCCACCTCCCCCTAGTCTGCCTCAGCTTGCAGCTGTGACTGTGACCGGGGATATTTTTATTTCTGAGCATGTTCCCCTCTAAGGATGTTCTTCAGTATGTTTTCCTCTTTGCTTTCCCCATCCTAATGGCTGTAGGGTATTCCTGACAGATGCAGCGTGGGAGCCTGGCTGCGATGAGTCTGAGCACCTTAGCAATGAGTTTGAGAACTTGAGGTCTGTGCTGTGTCAGTATGAAGTCACATGGCAGCTCACAGCGATGCTGAGTGCCTCCTATTTATATGTATGTCCTTGTAAGCGTTGCTCTGGGGATTGATTATGTGTTGTGAACGTGGTGACTTGAACAATTATAATCAGCAATAGCCCAAAGTGAAATTTAGTACAACTTATCTGAAAGAGGCGTCATCCCCACTAACTACAGTCAAAGCAGCAGTTGCTTCTGTTTGATAAGATGTAGAACAGGCCCAGCTGATCTGAACTGAGCGGCGTGCTTCAACAACTGGTCCAAGCAAGCAGCTGGTGAAGGCTCCAAGGGGCAAGTAATGGCAAAGTCACCCCTGCGCTCATCAGCTACTGCAAGGTTCGGAGGCGCCGAGCTCAGTGGGCAGCAATATCAAACAACCTTACCTTGGTCCTGTAGCATTCCTCAGTTCTGCAGTAGCTCCGCATGTCATGCCTCATACATAAATATAGGCAATGCTTTTACTGCTCGATGCCAAAGTACAGTTCTGTATCCTTTTCCACTTTACTGCTCTGTCACATCCCCGACAGCATACGCTGCGTATCATGGGCACTGGTTCCTAGGCTCAGCAGAAAAAGGAAGCTGCTTACGACCTGTGTGATTATGCAAAGTGGAAAGGAACAGCCTTCATGCTGCCAGTTCTTCAAAGATGTCTTGAACTTGCCACCCTGGACAGCTTTTTCATGAATAGATTCTTTTGCATGCGTTAGCTCGGTCAGTGCTGTGTTTGCTGCATCTTACAGAAGATGCCTGATGCTTTGCTTGTTTCTAGGCAGCTTTACCACAGCTTCAGATTTGGCACAGACCTGGCACCAGGTCATGTAGGGTGGCAGTTTATGCAGTAGTTGAGATTGTGTAATTTTGGAAAGGCTTTGCAAGGTTAGAGCAGTATCAAATACAGTCAGTTAGGTTAGCAGGATTCTGCTCCCTAGGGCAGGTTCCACTAGTCATTGCAAATGGAGGAAGAAGTGTAACATAAGGAATTGCGTATATAAATTCAGGTTTGAGTTGCATGAGAAATCCTTTAACAGCTTCAGAAGATGCCTAGGAAAATGGTGTTGCGTTGACAGGACATAAAAGGAAAAAAAAAAAAAAAAAACATTTCAGGGCACCCAGGCCTCTATAGTCAGTGTTTAGTCTGTTTAGCTAAAGTATTTAAACTCTAGCTTGTAAAAATATGCAAAGTGACAGATACAGTGCCTTTTATTTTTACAAAAAAAGCTGATAAAAGATGATGTAAATAAGAGTGTAATGTGCCACTAAATAAAACTGCTTATCTCCAGTAAATAGTTATTAAATAATTAAGAACACCATCTACAGTACCACAAAACCATCAAAATAATTCAATTTTATCAGGGACAGGGAAAAAAATACAGTGATTATGGATATGCCTTGACCAGTTACAGAGCTTGTTAGGATAACATAACTACTGTCAGCAGTCCAACGGCGTGCACAGTGCCTTCAATTAATGCATTTCAGCTTAATTACATTTCTAGTGGGGTCTAATTCCCCCAAAAAGGCAGAGCTAAGAATTTTAATTCTACATTCTAAACTCTGGAATTAGAGCCCATTAAAAAAAAATCACAGTGGGTAAGAGATGTATATAAAAATACTGGGTGTTCCTTTCAAATCACAGGAATAATGGGACTACATTCTTTTTTCTGTTCCCCCCCCCCTTTTTTTTTTTTTTTTTTTTTTTTACAAAAGGCTGTTGATTTCAACAGAATCCAGTTTGTTTTATGCTACAGACTTTGACACTGAACTATGCGTATATTGCCTGTTTGCATGTTTTGGTAGTCAGTCTTTTTTTTTCTATATAGTCCCACTTCCTTAGGCTTGAGTCATGAAGATGCATATATGTGCCTTCAAACTCTTTGAACCCTGCAGACTACTCCGACTGCAAGTAATGTATGTGACTACTGCCAGGGAGAACCCTCCCCTTCCCCTCATAGCTTTGTACACCTACTATCTTAACAGTGCATTGCACAAATTTACAAGAAAAATACTGGGTTTGCACTATACAGTTTCTAGAATATATACAGAATAAAATAAGTTAACTTCTAATGAGAATTGCTGATGGGCAGCATATATCTTTAATATACATTTTAAAGTCTCTGCAGGCAGCTACTTTTTGGTTAGTTGTTATCAATATTTGTAACATAAGCACTGATCAGAGAACTGAGCAGCATTCCAATAAAGTTAACAGATATATTATTTCTTTTAGAAACACTGAGAAATCCCAGTTTAAAATATTATTAAATGTCCTAACATTTACACACTATGAGGATTAGATCTAATAAAATAAAATTTCTTCAAAAATAATCTTGCAGCTCTTTTAAGCATGCTCTGAGACCTTATTTAACAATCATCCATACCTTCAAAAAACAATTGTCACATAGCCACACATTCTAACTCACACACATCATTTCCTTGTTGCAGACAATAAAAGCAAATAAAACATTGAGAAGTCAATGGTTTTAGCAGTCATAAGTCATTCTACTCATCTTTGACTGCACATTCTTCATGACGTTGCAAAGTGTCTCATTAGGTATTAGTTGATGATTATATCTACTACTGCTGGAAAGCCAGACTGCTGGAAAGCCAGGAAGCCTTGCAGGTCTTCAGCCAAAATAAACCAGCCTTGATTTTAGCCTCATCCCACCTGCGATATTGATTCAACCTTTAGAGGCTGTTACTGCAACCACCGTTTATAGTTCTGTTACAACAGAAAATAATGCATATGAATGCATTACATTTAAGCCCTTTTCATTTCATGTAGTTTTTATACATAAAATTAATAAAAAAATACTACTGCCACACAGCTACTGTGTAGAAAGAGCAGTCAAGTAAGATGTTCGCTTCAATTTTCAGATTTTTACTTTTGATAAAACCATTTCTTGCTGTGATAAAACTGGATCGGTTGTCAGGATTGCTGGAGGTTTGTTTTTGTTTTGTTTTTTATGAAAGGTGCTCAATAATAGTCTGAAGTGTCTTCATCATCAGTTCTTTTCTAAGTAACAGCTATTCAGAATCCAGTGCTCACAAGATTTAT